ATCATGTAAATTTATGATGCTATGCTATATAGTGACGTTTTACGTATTAGACATTACACATGCAATAGTAATTTCGCTATGCCTTTGTGTGTACATCAAAATTCAAATAATTATACAAATATTATATCATTTTATTATTTCCTTCGAAAATATTGTTTCATGTTTTTTTTTTTTTTTTAAACCAAATGTACAACGAAAAAGTCGAAAAACTCATCATGATACAATACATTGTTCAACATATAATACAATATGTACCTTTGTGTAAATAAATTTAATAATAATAACTTATAGTTTATTTGATATAATATGATATACCAATACCACAGTAGTCTATCTGCTTGTACTTGTAATATAATAATACAATACCATGGTTAAAGTCACATTTAAATACCTATAATTTAGGTAAATATTATTCAAAAAATTATATGATAAATCAAAATATTTATTTAAAATATATTTATATTATATTTTATGCATAATATAGGAAATCTAAGCATAAATAACAATTAATGTTTTGAAAATGTAGAATTACTTAGTCTGTTGATTTCATTCTTATTATTTAATTAATCAGCCAACTACATTGTTACTACATAGCAATATACATATAATAATAGAACTAAGTAAGTACCTATGGTATAACTATAATAATAAATTTATAATGTTAATTTATGCTATAGTATAAAAGTGTTTGTGCTAAATTAAGAGTTTTTTTTTATATATATATTGCATTAACTACCTATAATAAATAATATTTTTTTAATAAAAATATTTATTTAAATTTAAAGAATTTTCTTGTAGGTGATGCGGGTATGTTAATTACAATTTTGATTTACTTCAACACAATTTAAAATAATAAATATTTCGGGTTCAGAAATTAGAGGATCTGAAAAAAGCAAAATACGCACGAAAAGTTGTAAAATATGCACTCGAATATGCATGAAAAATGTCAAATATGCATGAAAAATGTATTCAAAATTTCAAGAAAAAAATAACATCTAGGTAATGTTGTTATTTTGTTAATAATATACACAAAAACAAATGTAAAATATGACGAAAAACTAGTTGATATTTTGACATGTTATTAAATTATAAAAATTAAACTTTGCTAAAGAATAATAATAAATTAAGTTGTATATCGATAAGTTATCGACTATAAGATAGAAGATAGTATTTTAGTATATTAGCATAATAATCATATAAACATCGTACCGTTGTCATTAAATTAATATTCGATTACAACAATGACAAATGACAATAAGTACTTATGTTAAATAAAATGAAATTTTTATTAAGTATTTATTATTATGTAAAATACCTAGGCTAAAAAGAAAAAATTGCATTTTCTAATCAATATTTAAACAGCATAATTTGGGTGTAAAAACCAATAAAATATTTACCTTTTCCCTAAAATTTACGAAATATACAAAATGTGATGTTTGTTTTTTTAATTTTTAAACTCGAATTATATATAACTCAGATTTCTAGCGTGGTCTACCTATACTATAAATTGAGAAAATATAGAATAATACGCAATTTCTACAACTTCCAAACCCTAATAGTAATATTCAGAACACTGTTACTTTTAAAATAATATCATGATTTTACACATATTTCTAAAATTACTAATTCATTAAAAGTAATCTATTATGATATTATTTAAAAGCAAATATATGTTTAAGACTTTTACATAATAATTATATATTAGAGAATTACAGAAATAAATTTTCCTTATCTCATACTGTGTCAATTAAAATAAATATCATAATTCATAACACGAGTTAGAGACATAAAATCATTTACCTACTATGTAAAAATATTAACTAAAATATTAAAATATAAATACAAATTACATATACTTTGCATGAGTATATAATCTAAATATATACACAGGCTTAATGATTCTTTTTTCAAACTCATTTCAAACATTAAAAAAAAAAAACACAATATTTACCAGCTCTATTATTTATTGATGTAGATTTAATACAACACTGTTAACCAATTTATTGTAATCAATTATTTCAATTTTCAGTAAATAATAAATAAAATCATGAATTATGAGTTTTTTTAAATACTATAAATCATAATATAAACTAAAATATTAGACGCCTTTTAATTGCTATTGAACGCTTTATATCACTTAGAGCAATCAAACTATATTTAAACTATTTATAAATAGTTTCGATTTAAGACTTGTTGAAATTTTGGACGTTTAGATAATTTATGACAATAATACACATTCCAATGAGAAAACGTGCAGTTTGATGACACATACTTCATAGTAAGTAATTTCTCCAATAATACCATTTAGTTTGCACAATTTCTATACGAAGTTTTTAGATCATCATATAGCAAACAAAATAGCTAAAAAGTATAAATTATATATCATTATTCATTTGCACGTTTTTATGACTCCATTTATTTATAATAATATCGTACACACACTTTATATTTCGTAATCGAATTTTGATCCGTCACGTTTTCAATAAATATCGGGATATCTCTAAGGATATACAAATTGAATAAGCTAATAATATCATTATAACTTAAACTACTTTCTGTTAGTAGAACTTTCTTTTTATAAACAATATACATTTCTGCAATAATCTCTACGGATAGTAATACAAATTCAAATAAAAAATTGTTAAAATTTGTTAACACAAAAAATTATTTCATAGGTGTGGAGAGAGTGTTAAAAAATGTCACCTGTGGGATTGACTTTTTATAATTGGTCGTGTCTTTTTGTTTTGTTTTTATGTTATTATACAATAAACATATTGTGCTTTAAGGTACAGAATGTAAATTTTCTGAATAAAAATGTTTAAAAAAAAACATAATAATCATAAATGTAAACGCTTACACACGGCTTAGAAAAGATAAAGTGTTTAAAATCAAGAAAAAATACATTCATCATAATGAGATGAAACATTGAATCGAAATCAGCAGACTTCTAAGCTATACGAAATAACAATAATCACAAACTAATAGTACTATAATTCAAAAATAAATTGATATCGTACAAATCGGAAAGTGCAGTTCAATAGATAGTTGGCGTTTACTATAAGGGCATTAACCTCGACAACTTTTTTCAGCTATTGGCTAACTGTCAAAAATCCAAATCAAATAAAGACGACACCCAAGCATTATTGTCAATGCCAGTTCAAAGGGACATGCTTTTGTTCTTTGCAAAAATGGTACGGTTTTTTATTTACCGATCTAAAACAATAGATACGTAAGTGACAACATAATATACATGTAGATAATGGGAACATTTGAAACGCGTCTAGTGTATAATACTTTTGTATTAAATATTTATTTAAGTTTCTTTTACGTATCCAGGCATTTAATTATTACTTATTGGTCACCACTATCTATGGACGGTAGTGCAGGAGGCACACATTTAGTGTAAAACAATTGCACGGATTTCTATATATAATCGAAAGAAGTTATGAGTACAGTTAAGTTATAACTAATAAAAATTAAAAGCCTTTAATTAGGTTATCATACCAATATTACGACAAATAAAAGTTCAAAAACAAATAAGAAGTATCAACATTGGTTAAGTGGCTTTTTGGTGGAGCAATTCAATGTACTTGACTCATTAATCTGAAATAATCTCATACTCTCGTATGTACCCGCAGGTGCCAGGATATAATATATTACATTTAAAGTTTAAGAAAAATAAAAGCGCATTGAAGCTTAGTGAGTTCTAACTATGTAACTCACTACATTTATCGTAACGAGCACGATATTTTAAGCTCCGCCACAGTCACAGTTTACGACGTTTAAAATGGTAAAAGATAATTTATTACGCCACGTACAACCTGTACAGATATACATATATAGATTCATATCACTCTGGGTGTATATCTCCTGTACGCGGAGGCGGTACATTCATAGTTATAGCAAGAGTCGTAGTAAGAAACATAATAATAAATACTAAACAGGATTCCCACACAGATATATAATGAGGTTAGGCCAAAGACGGGTACATTTGTTTTCGTTATTCTATTCAAGCATCCGCGATTCGTAAACGTGAACCATGTCCTTTGTGAGTCGGTCGAATGTAGCGAGTTAAACGACGCATTATCGTCGGACGACGAGCGACGAGAAAACGCGCGAAGTGAAATGAACGAGCAGAACACTATAACATAGATAGGTACAACTGTAACAACACCGGTCCGCGCGCGCTACTTTCACGGCGGCCACCGATTACGAAAAAATCGAATCGGTGGTGTACGTTTTTTTTTTTTTATTATTATTATTCATCGTTTGGACTGCCACACGAAAATAACGATATGATTATTATAATCCGTAAACGCGGCACTGACGTCGTGGACCGTGAACCGCCGACCCGAATAGGATTACCCGGAGGGTGTATACAAAAAAAAAAAAAAAAATCATATAAATACGGACACGACCAAACTGGATGGTACCTGCAGTGCCTATAATATCACACAATAAGAGAGTCGTAGTGGGCATAGCAGAATGTGGAATGTCGTCGAAACGGCGGGGTAATTCGCGAAACCCGTGATTGACGGACCCGACAACCCCTCCGTCACACCCCCTCACCGCGTATCAAGAATCGTTATTATCAGCGACCGCATTATATATATTATTATACCGTCTTCGGACCGCGATTTCGGCATCGTCGTTTACAGACATCTCATATTATCGGCGGGTTTGTAACGGGTGGATGATGCGTGATGGCGAAAGGGTGGTAACAGGCACCTGTCCGCCGAAAACCGACCGAATACCCACGAAACACAATTAATAATAATAATGCGGAATACCTATCGCACGCACTGCGCGCCAACACACACACACACACACACATGGTTTGCGTATTTTTTGTATTTTTTTTCAGTCGGGGTAAACAGGTGGGCGAGAGCGGCGACCCGCTGCTCTCGGGGCGACGATATCAATCCGAACATTCCGAACGGCACCAGCCCCGTACGGTGTACGGGACGCCTGTGCGGCGAAAAACGTCTCACTGAAATTACCTGTCCATATCGGCAGATGATGTCCGTTGCGATTTCGGCACGGCGCGTCAGCCCATCCGCGCCGCCGGGGCGCGATCGGACCGTTTTTCGAAAAAGATCTGACGACGGCGGCGGTGGCGTCCGAGAAGAACCGCTGCGTGGACGACGAGTAGAGACGACTACGCGTCCGCCGGGAACCGCAGACGACGTGGATCCGGACCCGAGTCAACGACGGATGTATTGCGAAGCGGACGACCTGGCGCGCGCACACTGCGACACACAAGACTGACACACACAGCACTGACCGCGACGCGCGACGGGGACGAACGACAGACGTCCGACAATGTAGAACGGCGACTGTCGGACGGGCGGCGGCGGCGGCGGCGTCGTCTACTACTACTACCATTGCTACGGCGGCGGCGGCGGCAGCGACGACGACGTACCTCACCGCGCGCCCCACCCGGAGACGATAAAAAAACATATCCTGTCCACGCGCGGGCCACTGACCACCACCCGGCAAACGACCGAACGCGATCGCCGACTGTTCTTCGCGCGGATCACGCGTGGGCCGCTGGCCGATCAAAATATTACATTAATATTATATTAATATTGTTATCGGTGTTTTTTTTTTTTTTTTTTTCATTTCGCGGGCGGCGGCTGGTCGTCTTTTCCGCGCAGCATACCGCTGATACCGCGTTCTTCTATCGATTTACCGGCGGACGGGTATCGGCGAGGCCATCTGGTAGTCTGTGCCCCGAACTAAAAACGCGCCGGAGACGAGACTCGGACGAGACCAAGCCTGCGGCGCGGACACGACGCGCGCGCTCTCTCCGCGTCCTCCGCTTATCTCGGTATCCGTCGTCTCGTCCGCGGCGCGCGCGTGCGTGCCGCCGCCGCCGCCGCCGCCGCTGTGACCGCGTACCGGGTAACCGTGTGCGCGGGTGACGGCTGACGACGTCCCTGGAAATAAACGTATCCCGAACAATAATAATAATATGTCACGCTGCGATGTGCCCGGTACAAACGGGGTCTGAACGAATACCTACGTACGACTTCATAGGGTATGGATATTGTGAAATACGGTTATTTTGGCGAAGCCATAATAATGTGATAAACTCCAGTGTAGTACGAACGGATGTATTACAAAAGGTTCCCGGAAAATTATAAACGTCAAAAGCCCGTGTTTGGAAAGGTCTCTCTTCTTTTTTTTTTTCCAGTGCCTGACGCGAATGCGAATATTTGATATGTTTGATATTAGTTGGTATTAATTAATGTCATAAAAATATAATTAATAACGATCCTGCTGCAGGTTTAACTGTTAACGATTAACGTTTTGCTACTCGTATGACGGCTTATAGGTAACATATATTATTATTGTCGAAAATCGGTGTCCACCTAGCCGATGTCCTGCAATAACTTCGATTTTCCAAAAAATTAGTTGTAGACATACTTACTATATACTGTGATTTATTATCGTATAATACTTACATAGAGTGCTGCGCGGGCGAAAATCAATTACGATTTCATTGTGGGAGTTATAATACGTATTTTCAGCATTCGTGTGAGAGACGTGTAGTAAACCCAAATCCCATATAATTATTCTAGTTATTAATTATTATAATAGAATATAATATAATAAATTATTCATAGAGTATAATTTATGCTGATAACTAATATAAGTATTAATGTTCGTTCGTGGTGAATAGGTAAAGCCTAGATCAGGGGTGTCCAACCTTTTGTGAAGTCTGGGCCACGTCATATGGATAGAAGCGTTATTGCGGCCTACGGGCCGCATAGTTTTTAATAATAATAGTTAATACATACAGTGTTTTATTTTTATTTGTTAATAAATGACACCAATAATAAAATATTTTATCAAAATCGGCTCGAGTTGATCCTCTAGTCACTCGTATAATAATTAATGTGTGCCCGTGCTATTATGCTAAGATAAAAGTATTAAACACGATTAAAGTTTATTTGATGTTTAATATTATGTAGTTTTATATTCTTATGATAAATTTGTTCTCGTAATATTAATATATTATATACAATTAATTAATAGTTTTTAAATTGAAGTGAGGGCCGCATCAATATCTACATGGGCCCCGGGTTGGACACCCTAGATCAAAGGTACATAAAAATACATAGTAGATATTAACAAGATGTAAAATTAAAATATAGAATAATCACGCTACAATACGTCATTGATAGGACCCATAAATACGGGTAGAGCACCTAGCATTAGTAGAGAAGGTAGTTAACTGTAGACTTACGCACAACGAGCTTACGACAGCGAGTTTTAGATTATTTTTAAAATGTTATAAAGTTATACAAATAAAATATTTATTTTCATGCGTAAATTATGAAGTGAAGTGTTCATTTATTTCAATATACCTACCTTCCTCAACACGTCTCAAGACTTCGTCGAACGTGCTACCTCGTTTAAATAATAATCGTGGTACAAAATATCGCAGTGTCCTGCACAGTGATCACTACAGACGCGAGGACGTCCTTCACGTGACACCACAGTTTTTTTTTTCTACCGACCACCATCGCAAACCCGAAAAAATGTTCGATTTTTTTGTTTCGTATCAAGTCTATAAGTTTATTTTATCGCCTGTTACACTGTGACCGTCATTCCATTTTATCGTAGTTGATCCTTTTCCTTGACTATTTTCTTTGCGACCGCTTCGACTTAAGATTTGCCTCGTCAGATGTCTCCCACATATTCTAGCTAACACTTTACTTGTCTGAACGTCATGGCGTTTGACACTTTGTAAATCCCTGTACTTGCGCTGAAAAAAATACCATTTCAGTCGGAATTACGACAAGTTGTTCTCCACGTCTACGTTGTGCCCTACATTTCCCGTTAACTATCTATAAGTAGTGTCGTATTAAGACACCAAATCCCTCGTCGTATACTATTGTATAAACAATGTACTTATATGAAGGCACTACATATACTGTTGTATAAACAATGTACTTATATGTAGGCACTACATAATACATTAATACCTGTTATTAATGGTATTATCATTAATTAAAACACAATGTTATACTCCCACTGTTCCACCGTATATTGTTTTGTCGAAATCTATAGACTTTTATATTCGAGGCCGTATGCATAAGATAATATTATAACATAAGTTATTTGATGACAACCGATTCGTTATTCCTTTGGATTAAGACGGAACACTAATAAATAATATATTAATATTAGTAAAATACACTGTCGTCACTCGCCAGTCACATATATAATAATCGGAGCCGACATAAGATAAATTCGTTTAATGAACACTGTATTTATAATCTGTTAAGGTAATATGACAATACTACTCGTATACAAGTAAATTTGATAAATTAAATGATATATTACAGTTTATACAATGAAATCTGTATTCGATAGTATATATTAATTAATAATTATATTATATATAACGATAATACACTTCGTTTTTAGTGTTTCTAAAGCCACATTACGATGAAATCATTGTGTATTGTACTTACCCGTTGAGGATTTATATACTTATTAACAGTAAGTACACATATAAATTTATAAAACCGTATTAATTTAATTATTTTTGTATACATTTAATATTATGACTACAACACAAAGTCTAATTTTCTGTTTTTTAAACAAAGTTCATCAATGATCTCTTCTGATGAAATCTCAGTATTTCGATGGCACGACTATAGTGCTAATCCATTAATGTCTACTTAATTAATAAAATTAATGTAACTATAGTGTTTATAGCGAATTTTTATTTGAGAAATAACTAAATAACATATTATATTCTTTTGTTTTGTAGCTTTATTATTCATCATAATATATTTTTTATAAAACGGAGAAAACCATAAAAGTATGATAATTAGTATTGATAAATATGCAAATTTATGTTTAGAACGAAAACAGTCAAAAATAGTGCATTAGCGTGAATGTGCGACCAGGGCTGGATTAGAATGAAAATTTTTGGGTATCTATTTGTATTTTATGTTGCGTCATTAATTTTATAGTTAACAGACATTCACTGCTGTACAAAAACTAGTAGCCGATTCCGTCGCCGTTAACCACTATGGAATAATTGGATACAGATATGAATATTTATTTATTAGTATTTGTTAATTAAAAAATAATGCTTTAAAGCTGTATGAAGTATTGTGAGTGGGACTATTATTGTATAGGCGAGCACGGTAATAATTTAAATTAAAAATCATGAAATACCAATATGACGTAACAATGCATTCGGTCATTATTTATAATTTTACAAAATAAATTTTATTTTACCACTTATTTTGATCATCATTGTTATTCTCTATACTACCTACTAGTGAATGGTGGTCGATTACGGACTAATAAATTTAAATGACGCAATATGTAAGTAATTATTTTAATACAATTTTATTTTTTTATCATTATTTTATAAACTTATTGCTTTTTTAAAATCATGTACCCGCGTTAGTTACTTTACTTGGAAGCATATTTGTGTATTTACCATATTATGTATGTCCACCATATTATATGTATACTATGTTTTATGCAGTGGCGTAGCGTAGGTTTAAACTTAACGTATGCGTTGAAAATGATAATTTAATGTATTCCTTATTTTTAAACTTTAATATGTTCTTACTGTTTACTCTAAATCATAATTAATTAATTTTTATGAATAATAACTTAATATAACAAATGACATAATAAATTACATAATAAAATAACTTATTAAATTAAATTAAATTAACTTCTTGTTGTCACAAGCCATAAATTAAAATAACTTATTTTAATACCCTATGTCAGAGGTTCCCAAACTATGGGCCGCGTTTTATTTTTAAATAATACATTTTTTTAGACATGTGCTACTTCTTATTAAATAACTAAAAAAAAGATTATTTGACATTACTGCGAGTCGTCAAAATTTAATAATTTCCAAAATGGGTCATATCATAAAAAGTTTGGGAACCTCTGCCCTATGTGTTATGGTTAAAAAAGATATAAGTTTATTTAGCGGACATATTTTAGAAATAATAATACATACTTATAAAATAAATACTAATAGTTACAAATATTCTTATAATTCATTATAATTTTACTTTGACTTTAAATTCGAATTTTGTAATTAAAAATAAATGTTATAAATTTAAATGAATATCATTTATAGACAACGTTAGATTTTAACTATTTTTAATACCTAATTATTTTTATTGTTTCAAATTACCTATAAAAATGTATGGTATCCATATTATCTTCTGCCCGTTACCATTATCAGTTGTTGCCACAAAATCAAAATTATTAATTAATAATTAATATTTTAGAGTTATTTTTATTTTTTAGAGTTATAGTTAGAATTTAAATACAATGTCAGACACACTATCTCAAAATCAAACCGAT